TTTCTCATCTTATCATTGTCCTTCTGGAAATGACGAAGTTAAAAGAATCTGTCACTAGGCTTATTGCCACAACAAGAAGAAGCTGTCTGACTCTGATATAAGAAAGATGTGTGAGTCATGCCTACTTTCTATTTAAAGAGTATAGCCGCACGGCTATACAGATTCAAAGAGTATAGCCGCGCGGCGATACGTGTAAAATATTTTATTTAAATAGTATAGCTATCCTTTTAAAATATCTATTTAAGGCGTACAGCCGCGCGGCTATATGGTTTAAATATTCTATTTATACAGTATAGGGTGGCTATACGTTTTTAAAATTCTATTTATAGAGTACAGCCGCGCGGCGATACTATTAAAATATTCTACCGAACGGCTATACTGTTAAAATATGCTTTTTATAAAGTACAGCCGAACGGCTATACAGTTAAAATATTCTCTTGTGGCTGACATTTCTCTTGTTTGTATTTCTTACAACCTCAGAAAGTATGGCATACGGAGGTTCTTGTTCGTGGATAGATATCATGGTCATAAGCTTCAGTACCGTGAAGAATATATACAGAAGATCAATGTGAGTTTGGCAATACCCATTCCTCACTTATTTAATTTCTTTCCTTTACATTTTATGGTTGTGAGCTTTATACCTGACTCGAGTAATTCTACTGCTGAGTTGATGTAAAAATCAATTTTAGTTGAAAACAGAACCTGAAACTTAAATTAGCAAATACTTTTACTTCAAGTTACTGTCAGTTTCTCCCTTTGACTCATTCTGTATCAATTATTAAACCTTGTTCAAGATTCTGCATTTAGCACAAATTTTTTATCTTGCTGGATAATATTTTATCATGTTTTCATCTTGGTGGATGTGTTAACTACTTCGGTAGGAAAGTTTATCTATCTGTTCTTGTGGTTGTCTCACACTCATTGATTATTGGGAACAACCTTGTTTTGCAGTGAGATCATGATTTGGTATATCTTTCCTTTACTTTTAAAATATTCTATTTAGCCGTGGGGCATCCGGGCTATATATATCAAGTTATGTTCAGCAGTCGCAGCTGAAGTAATGCCCAAGGTATGATGTTGTCCAAATTTCTTTTCTACATCAATTCGAATTTTACTATTGTCCTTTATAGTAGTTATGGATAGGCTTCTAAAACTACCTGAACATCCTCAACTACTTCAGACGGGTACGATCAATTTCTTTTTATTTTGTTGAGATGTTCTAAACATGCTAGTAAATATCAATTCCAGATATGTTAATCATGCAGAAGCTGTGGCAGATGCAATCCAAAGACTTTGGCCAGTATTTAAAGCCATATTTGATCTGTAAGTGTTCCTACATTACTTGCTGAATATTACTTGTGGTGTAACAGATTTCCATACTCATATATCTTAATCTCCTTTCCCAAAAATTTTCTCTTTTCACTAGAGTTGTCGCTTCATGTATGGATCCAAAACCAAAAGCTATGATTTTTCTGTACTTATATTGTCTTTCTAAATATAATTTTTCTTTCCCAAAATTTTTGTTCTAAAATTACATCTATAGAGAGAGAGAGAGAGAGAAAGAGCTGAAATTGTCATTGATGATTAAGACAACTAGTCTGGAATGTGTAGATTAACAAGTGCCTGCAATCGTTTAGTAAACAAGAGAAAGGAAAAAACAGAACGGAAGAAAACTAGTATGGAAGGGTAATATTTCTCAAACAATTCGTATATATTTATAGAGTATGGCCGTCCGGCTATACTGTTTAAATATTCGTAAAAGGGTATAGCTAAGTACAGCCGCGCGGCTATACATTTAAAATATTCTATTTATAATATACAGCCGAGCGGCTATACCTTTAAAATATTTTATTTATAGAGTACAGCCGCGCGTTTATACCGTCAAAATATTCTATTCATAGAGTACAGCCGCCCGGCGGTACTATAAAATATTCTATTTAAAGGGTATAGCTGCGCAGCCTTACGTAGTTCCCTACATATTGGAGTCAGAAAATATAAATTAGAGTAGCTACCAAGACCAACACTCCAAGGTAAATCTATCGATCATTCAGAGATAACTGCCAAGCCAACAATGGTTGCGTTCAAACTGTAGAAGATCTCAGAACCCTGGGACCTGACATAAAAGAAATAAACTATTACAACCCTTAATTATCAACAAATCAAAAGCTATGAGGAACAAAAGTAATCACCACTAAGCACTCCCTTCAAATGTTCTAAAGAACCTTACAGAAAACAGAACCATAGTTTAAAATTCAATCATACATGTAAAAGACACCGAGATTTTAAAATTTTCCAGAACCTGCAAGGAGTTGATCAACAGTCATGAGCCACTTCTTTCAATAAGAACTCCAATTGAAAGAGTCCTGACGAGCTGAATTGATCTCTATTAGATTTAGCATCCCATCGTGATCCTGATCTAACCAGAATGCCCCGCATGGTAGATTCTTATTCTCGGCAGATGTGTTTATTTTAACAACATGGGTAGGGTTGGGGCCATACACTTCAATATAACCAACACCATGAAAGAAGAAGATTCATAAGGAGATAGGCCCTTGGGCCTTGCCTCAAACAGTACATGGCTAGGGTGGAACTTGGTTAAGTCTAGTTCGTATCTACAGGAAAAGGCCAAATAGGAAAAAAAAACAAAACAAAACAAAATACTTGATTAGAGAAATTGTTCGATTGCAATTAAAAGAGAGAAGCGGTTGACAAATAAGCGAGCATAACTTTCACCCAGCAGACGACAAGAGGTAATCCAACTTTAGTAGGGCAGGGCTAGAACTCTTGTCAAACAAGTAGCACTTCAATCCTACAGCTAAATGACTTCCAAACCTAGATTAAGTTATAGGAAATACCAGTATATATTTCATACTAACAGGTCTAAAGAAAAATAATCCACTTTTTTGTAATTCTATAATCCATTTTCCCACACAATTGAAGCGTTACAAGAACATACACGTTCCCGGGATGGATGGCAACAATATATCTATAAACCTTGCTTTTGTGCATTATAATTTTCATGCATGGACAGAAGCACACTTCGAGGTAAAACGTGCAAAGTGTCATAGTTTCGGTGGGTTGGATTTGTAAGACATCATTATTTTCCTGTTAGAAACATAAGTTTAGTAGCTGTCCTAATTCGAAGTAGGAAATCATTATCATTTTTAATTTGTCTTTAGGCGCATGCCATAAATACTTGTTAATGACATGCTTAGTTATGCAGAGGTTTGCATTATTCTCTTCTGACTTCTGAGAAAGACACCACTGCAACAGACCACATTTAAGTTTCGTATCCCGTTAGGTCAGCTCAGGTATTTGAGAAATATAAAACAAAATTAGTTTTGTTTGCCTAAAAAGCGACAGTTAGCACGCCAGTACCTACCTCACTGGCACTCGAAAACGTGTCGTCTGCTCTAAACGCAAGCGGTGGTCGCCGACTTCCTGGACACGTGTGAGGAAATAAAACCTGTCGTTTTAGTGGGCCCAAGTACGGCGCTAATTGACGCCTGATTTTGCACTCGACTTAATTAAACTAGTATCTTGATTTATTTATTTTTGTAGTGAAGATGGGCTGTTGACACGTGTAAGTATACGTGGATATTAGTTTGTGATTGGAGCAGGCGAGATGGAAAGGATGAGCACGAGTTCTTACACGTCGGATTGAGTCAACCTCCCCCTACGGCGAAAGGCCGCTTATTATAATTTGGCCTTCTTTTTTTAAGTCCGGCCCTATTGGGTTTGTTTGTGTAATGCCAAGTGGGTATTGTGGGCTAAACCTTACACGTCAGATCGAAAATATTATCCATATAATCTTGGATAATCACTATAATAAAAAAAAAGCAAGTTCCCAAGTTGGCAGGGGTAGAGATGGAAATATCGTTCTTAGCTAGGAAACGATGGATGCTTCCCACACGCAAAATTTACTTTGGACATTTCCGTTAACCAAGTAATAATACAAATTAAGGTAAAAGTCAAGGTAAAAATGTAAAGAAATATATAAGAATAGAGGTCTCGTTCGGTTCATAAAAAGAAGACTTATATATGAGAAATCAATTGATTTCCTACATTTAGTAAGTCTAAGCGTGAGAAATGGTTGTCTGGCACATGAAAAAATAGGGAGAAAGTGAAGCTCTCCTCCCAACTTGGATTTTATTTTCCCTTCTAATAAGAAAGTTTGGGAAAATGAGCCAACATTCAATGCACATCTTTCCTGGCATTACCAAACGTGAAAAATGAATCTTCCATTTCTCATATCTTAGGAAATGACATGATAAGTGATTTCCTTTCAAATATGTTTCGTGAACCAAACAAGGGCAGAGTGTATAGGAAAACAATATTTTTTCTATATTCATTTTAAAAATGAGCAATTAGGGTTGGGTACAGCCTTGTTCGGTCCATTCTAGCCCTCAAATCGCCAAATGAAAATCAATAATAATTATCGGTTTAGACTGATTTAATTTTGGAAAATTTGATATTGGTAACTGATGTAAACCACACCGGCCATAATCAACTTCACTTTGAGGTTTTTCAATTCGGTAAGACCTCGAATTTCATTCTCGTAAATTTCTTCTATCTCGCTTGGTGCCTAGTCACGATTTTAATTAAATTATTATCAAAATCTATAGTACCATGTCTACTCTTTTGGTAACATATATTTTCTTTGATCAATTTATAATCACAACAAGAGGAAGAGCCAACATAATGTTTGTGTAAATGTGGCTCTTAAATGGCGCGTGAGACTGAGGTGGACAAACATCAGTCACCCTTGGTTGTTTTATATTTGTTCTTTTGCGTTTCATTCTCAGAACCACACCGGGCCGAACCCCACAACAACAAAAAAATAATAATAAAAAAATCTCAAATTCTCTATAAAGTCAGGGGAGACCATCAAACATTTTCATCTTCTCACAAACAGAGACTCACAAAAGGACTCCTTTCTTTCTACTCATAATATCTCTGTCTTTGCTTCTCTGACTCTCTCTCTCTCTCTCTCTCTAGAAATGGAAACTAATCCCACCGTAGCCATCAACATCTCCGATGACCTGTACGGACTACCGGGCACCAAATCCGACCCACGAGACCTACCCGAACCCGATGTCCACATCGTCACCTGCGACGCCCTGCGGATCCCGGCGCACTCTAGCATTCTGGTACGTACTATTCCACCAACCAAACACCTCTCCTCATTTCATTTCCCTTTCGTAACGCAAAAACATTAGTTAACTTTCTTTTATTTTTGAAAAGAGATCTGAATTTTCCTTTTTGAATTTTGAAGGCCTCAGTGTCGCCGGTGCTGGAAAACATTATTGATCGGCCACGTAAGCACCGGAGCTCCGAGCGAGTCATCCCGATCACCGGCGTCCCATACGACGCCGTATTGGCCTTCGTTCGCTTCCTCTACTCCTCAAGGTTCGTTGCCGTTACCCGCTTTTCCTACTTAGCACGTTCTTACTCTTATCAATTTTCTGCACCGTCCATTTCATCATGACCGTCCGTTTCCGACATATTTTAATTTAATTATTAATTTCCAAAATTGGAGGAACGTTTAATATGATTATTAGTGAATTGACGACAATACCCCCTGATGCAGGTGCACGGAAGAGCATATGGAGAAGTACGGGATCCATCTACTCGCGCTGTCCCACGTGTACCTGGTCCCACAGCTGAAGCACAGATGCATCAAGGAGCTGGGTCAACGTTTGACCATCGAAAACGTTGTGGATGTGCTCCAACTTGCCAAGATGTGCGACGCAGCGGATCTCTACCTCAAGTGCTTGAAGTTGGTCGCTAATCACTTCAAGGCTGTCGAGAATACTGAAGGCTGGAAATTCCTCCAAGATCATGACCCTTGGCTCGAACTCGACATCTTACAATTCATCGACGAAACCGCGTCGGTAAGTTAATACGATGTTTATTTGACAAATTTTAGAATGTCACGCATCATTGTGAACAGTTTATGTACATCGTACTTGGAATTTTTAATTATATTTTGACCCCAATTTGATATTGTAAGGACCAAAAGTTAATTTTCCCTTTTTGTGAGCAGAGGAAGAAGAAGACAAGGAAGCTGAGGGAGGAGCAAAGGTTGTATCTGCAGCTAAGTGAGGCCATGGAGTGCTTGGAGCACATATGCAAGGAAGGGTGCACGAGTGTTGGGCCTTACGATATGGAGCCAGGTCACAAGAGGGGCCCATGCAGCAAGTTCTCCACGTGTCAAGGGCTGCAGCTGTTGATCCAGCACTTCGCCACCTGTAAAAGGAGGGTGAATGGAGGGTGCTTGCGTTGCAAGCGCATGTGGCAGCTTCTTAGGCTTCACTCGTCAATATGTGACGAGCCCGACTCTTGCAGAGTTCCTCTTTGCAGGTAAACATATAATTAACGATGATCAAATTAATGCTAATTATAGTTTAATGAATAACCAAGAAAAAAGGAGTTGTTGTTGGTAGGATGCCAAAAGATTCTATCAGCTAAAATAAGTAATGGGTTTTCTTTGCATATGTTATTTGTATAAATGTTTTGGTATGCCACCTGAAATTAAACCAATTTAGAAAAATCTCGAGAGGGTTTGGCCTTTTCTGGTTTGGAATCTCATAATAGGACTAGGAAGGAATTGACTAGTCTATATGAATGAAACCAACTTCAACGATAGAGGCATCTTTGGGTTGGTGGTGGTGGAACCTAACTCATGACAACCCGAACTAATATCGCGGTTGGTGTTCTTTTGTCAAACTGTAAATTTCGACCACACATCTTTTAAATGTTTGCGTTGATTGTTGTCGGCTTTTGATAAATGCGTACTAGATCTTTTAACCTAAGAGTATATACATAGGCGTAATTAGATGCTGTTCCCTTAATTCTGGTAGAGAAGGTACCACTGTGACAGCTTGTGCGTATCATGATTTAATAGGGAGGAAGGAGACATAAGCTGGCTAATAAAGCCAAACAAATGAGGATCCCTCAATCCCTTCGCTTATTTTGGTTCATAAAAAAACAACTTGCAAATAAAATATCATGGATGGGTGGGGCATCAAGCTCAGCTAATTGTCCTTTTCCTTGTGCAACTAGTCCATTTGTCATTTAAGAGTATCCAATTTATTTAGCAGCTAGCATTGATATTTATTAATATGGCGTCGTTTTGGGGATGCGACAGGCAATTCAAGTTGAAAACGCTGCAAGAGAAAAAGAAAGATGATGCAAGATGGAAACTGCTTGTGAGGAAGGTGGTGTCAGCCAAAACAATATCTTCCTTGTCCCTGCCCAAGAGGAAGAGGGAGGAGGAATTAGGAGAAACCAGATGCAGCCATGGGATTAGAACCTTCAGATTGTGATTAATTAGTCGTCGTTAATTAGGTCTGCGGCAAATTAGTGGTATGCCTTTTTTATTGTTACCACAATGTCGATTTTCCCCCAGATGTCAAAAATTTGTGTATTGTGTATTGAAGTGAGAGTTGTGCTTCTTCCTTGAGGGAGGAAGGAAGGTTAACCCTAGTAGAAATTTGGGTTAACATAGTTTGCTTTGTTACCAAATCGGGGGGGTATTATCATGTCCTGTTTGGTTTCATATTTATATTTAAACATATGATTTCTCATGTGATTTGGTGATTTAGAATATCAATACATTTTCATTTGATTTAGTTTAATCTCGTATTTAACCGTGTTAAAATGATTAAAAAATTTATAATTCAAGTGATTAAAAATGTTATCCGTAAACCGATTTGTGAAAAGAAAATTGATAGCGTGTTTTGCGTTATGTGAATACTTAAATTGTTACATCAGTGTGTTGCTTAAAAAATAAGAAAACTTATGGTACATCAAACATTTTCCCACACTTTATTCTTTAAAAAATATGTAACTTGCAAATGTTTTCTTTGCCCATCCTTAAAAACGCGCATAACATTAACAATACTGATGTTGAAGCCTCAACCACTGCTAAGCCGGCCGGAGTATGTTGAAGCCTCTCCCTCTTCAAACTTGAGCCTCCTTCGAGTACGCATCATGAAAGTTTGAAAATATTATAAAAACTGATACTCAACAAGAAAATATTAATATTTTGATCCTTTTAATGCACATGTATACTTCTAGATTAGTTCAAGGTTCTACTCATTATCAGAATAATTCATTTGAGTAAATTAATTATACAAAACGTCCTAAACGAAGTGGTAAAGGGACCGAAGTTGGATTTCTCCATGTCAACATGATATATATCCGAAATCCTAATAAATCCTCATTAATTTTTTTAATCATTTAAATGCTAACAGTTGTTTTCACGTATAACACCATACAAGCCTGATGAAACCCTTGTACAAGTATAATAATTTGCCACATAACGTGTCGTATTCAAACGTATACACCTCGTTACATGTAAGTTTCTGTCAACTATAAGATGTTATGAGGTCTCAGAAAATCTTATCGGTAAAGTAGCAAAAGTCATGGCATAACCAAAAATAACCTTAGAAATACTATTTGCGTGCTTACAAAGATCTTACGCCTCTCTTGTTTTCCATTTGACTATAAGCTACTATCTTGTTAAGTGTTTAGTCTTGGTAGAGCAGCAAGGGAAGAATCATTCCCAACTAATATTGACTGGTCAATTTGGTAGTAGTGAGAGGTCAATACAAGGGCACAATTGGTGGAAGTTAGTGCGAGCCGACAACGTTTTGGTCCCTTTCTTCATTGCAAAATGCAAACTAGGACTCTAATGCTAAACAGACTGAGAAGAATAAAGATGTAATTATAGTCCAGACAGAGACACCAACAGCAGCCCTCACTTACTGACTTCATGATTACCATAAAAAATGCTAAGTTAATTATGTTTATACTCCGCCTCGTGTACCACATTTCGAATAGAAATGAGATCAACCGTTTGATGAGCTCCCTAGCATTACTCTTATTACCAAACACATAATGATATTATGTTCCTTCCTATTGCCTTGTCTGACATTAATGTTTTGTGTACCACTTTCTAATTAGCATCTGGGTCAATTGGAAAATCATGGTAAGGGGGGATGCTAGAAGAAAGGGCAAACAAAACTTAGTGGACAAAAAAGCTGAGATAAGCACTTATGCAACAAAAGCATACGGGGAATCTTCTCATGGCCACCTCTGGTTGGAAAACTTGATGATGTATACTTCCATTTGCAAGCACCATTCTCAAAAGCCTTCTCATGTCATGACTTTTGTGTTCAAAGATGCCATGAGAGGGATCTGCAAAAGATCATCATAACTAACCGGACCGTGATACAAAGCCTACAACATCATATCAGCATATATGCCTTGTCAAATCTTATTCATCTAAACACTTTTTTTGGTCAACATCTCATCATCACATTCGTATAAGCCCGATTGCGTCCTAGTCTGAACCCCCTCCTTCTCGTACATTAAAATTATATTTTAGAATATCGATCTTATTTATAAATAAAAAACACACACACGCACACAATAAAAATCTAGACAGGTTATTCACCCAAGCCCAGCCAAAAATTCAGCCCAATTTTTTTTTTTCTTTTTTTTCCTTTGCCAAAGCCCAATCTCATTTATTCATCACAAGTTGTGGTCTTAACTCTCAACTAGGAAAAAGAAAAAAAGATTTAATTTCGGACGGCAAAAACGTGGACGGCAGGATTCGAACCTGCGCGGGCAGAGCCCACATGATTTCTAGTCATGCCCGATAACCACTCCGGCACGTCCACCACACGTTAGATTACTTGTACATTTAGGACTTTATATTCAATAAGCACGTGTAGTAATACGAAGTCTAGTAGTGCAAGTTCAACGATATGTCGTTCGGGATCGCTGGGAATGTACGTGGCAAGGATTGGCGGCCAGATTCAACGTTGAAGACTAATTCGCATTGCTCTGCATCAATCATATTTCACAAAACTCAGTCACGAACCAACAATGGCCGCTACTTCAGAAAAGACGGGACCCACCAACCCTGCTCTGGAACCGGACCTCGATGCTCCTGACAATCCGGGTCACGAGTTCGCTCAATTCGGATCCGGGTGCTTCTGGGGAGCGGAGCTGAGGTTCCAGCGAGTGGTCGGAGTGGTCAAGACAGAGGTCGGCTACTCCCAGGGCCACGTGGAGGATCCGAATTACAAATTGGTTTGCACCGGAACCACCAACCACGCGGAGGTGGTTCGGGTCCAGTTTGACCCGGAAGTCTGCCCTTACACTGATCTGCTCTCAGTCTTTTGGGCTCGTCATGATCCAACGACGCTCAATCGCCAGGTAATCTTGTTTGGTTTTCTGGACTGTTAATTTTGTAACCCAGCCCAGCCCAGTCCAGCCTTTTTTGGTTCGCGCCTTTCTCTTTTGGACTTATGGAGTTGTAATTTTGTGCTGAGCGTTTTCTTTTGAATTTTGATGTACTATCAAATAAAATAATAAAAAGAATTTGATTCTACAAATTTCTTTTATTTTTTATTTTTGGGTTTGTCAGACTGTCGCAGTAATTGCTGAATTTCGGCTAATTCTGTATTTCTGGCACCAAAAAGTTATATGATGGGACAGTGACATGTGGAAAGAATATCAATCAAGATTGTTTCAATAGATTTTGTACAACTTATGCCCTGTAGTTTTTTTTTGGTTATGTAATTTGGGAATTTTGTACTTTGCTAATTGATCTTCTCAATAGATTTTTGTTTGTTTGAATGCATGAATGTTTTTTTTAATTGACAAAGTGCAACTAAAATGAGGATTCTCTACGGATTTTATTTTCAAACGCGTTAAATTTTAGTTTAAAAGAATTGAAGAAGGAAAATTACAAAACTAAATACATGAGTGATCATTATTTTGTCCTAAATGTGCTAAATTATCGGTTATCATATTTGCTTCTCGATAAACATGATATAGAGTGTAATGTATGAATGTATGGTTGAAATTGATAACCAATGAAAGAGAATATTACCTTCAAATGAGATGATTTTCCGATTGATTAAATAATAAATTTATGTGTTTATGTATCAGGGTGGTGATGTTGGTACACAGTATCGATCTGGAATATACCACTACAATGAAAACCAGGAGCGTCTGGCCCGGGAATCAAAGGAGGCAAAGCAAGTGGAGTTGAAGGATAAGAAGGTGGTGACTGAGATTCTGCCAGCAAAGAGGTTTTACAGGGCAGAGGAGTATCATCAGCAATATCTGGAAAAGGGAGGAGGTCAAGGCAACAAACAGTCAGCTGAAAAGGGTTGCACTGATCCTATTAGGTGCTATGGTTGACAAGTTTATGCATGCATGATGCCATAGGATTCAAACTTAAAACATATGATGAGTCAATGCCGTATTTATCGTAAATAAATGAGGTTTCACAGTGAGACCGGATATGTACAAATGAAACGTTGCCGCATCAGTTGGGGTCCAAAACATTATAATTTGTTTTGGTGTACTCGTATTGTTTATGATAATCGAGCATCATGCTTTTTATATATTGAAAATACTCTGATTTTGAACCTTCTTTTCTTTCTTGCTTTGATGATACTTCTGTTATGCTTTGTAGGAATAGGCATAGCGTTGGGGAAATTAATTCGACGATGTTATTTCAGCTTAGCAGACCAAATACAGATATTAGATGATATGAATAATTCAAATCTATGAGAAACATTATTTGGCCATGAGGCCATGTGTCATGCAACAATTTTTTATTTATAACCGAAGCAACATCAGCAAAGCTTAGAGTCAATGGAGGATGTTGTTTAGAGTTCATCCTTAGGATAGGAGGTAGGTGATCCTTTAGGGTTGGTGGAAGAGTTCTTGACGGGATATGAAGCCTCCACTGCTATTCCACAGAGCCCCTCTTTCGCAGAGACGCCACGCTCCATCCGTATGTAACCCTTCTCTCCCCACTCAGGGCCCCAGGAGTTCTTCACTATCCAATACTTGGTTCCATCTAGTGTTGCGCCATAGCCAACAACCGCAACTCCATGATCAAGCTCTGTGCCACATTGTCCAGTAAATACCCCCTGCAAATCATCGTCCAGCAGATTAAGATATGGCGGTATGAACCATCTGATTTTTCTTTTTCCTTCTGTTTTACTAGCTTAGGGAAAGTGAATACAAGTTAGAAAGTTTACCTCAGAGTAGAATTGAAAATCAGAACCTCCCGCATCTATGGCAACAGAAATAGGTTGGTTTGCAGCTGCTTTGAGCAATGCATCCTCGTTATTTGTAGGCACACTCTCATGACCATCAATTGACACTACTGGAGCATTTTCCTGCAAAAGCATGTTGGGTATACAGTGAAGGAGCATCCAAAATGGACAAAGATATATCGATCCCCGAAAAGTAAGTGCACAAAATGTATACCTTTGCAACATTACATGTTGAATCTTCTGCTCGGTAAGGGTAATTAGTCTCTGTTGTTAGGCCACCTTTTCGTCTGATGAACTCAAATGCCAATTCCATTAGCCCTCCATTGCATCCTTGATTTTGTTCAGTGTCACAGTCAACCAACTCTTGCTCAGACAATGAAACCAGCTTATGGGTCTTAATTTGATTAATGCCCTCAACAGCTACAACTGTTGAAAATGCCCAGCAACTACCTGCAAAATATCGTCGAAAGGAACTTCGGTTAATGGCCGCCCTAGTTTCATACATTTCCAGTTCTGTGCTGCTAAAGGCAAACAAAAAGAAACAAACTAGAAAAAAGAAGGAAATTTTCCTTACCACACTGGCCTTGATCCTTAACAGGAGTGACGGCACCTTTCTTTCTCCAATCAACAGAGGGTGGGACACTGTCAACATTTTCATACCTAAAGCCCCCATCACCGCGCTGCTCCCCCTGGAGCATCCTATGATGCTTAACTTTTGAACCGGCGTAAACGCTCCTGAACTCATGGTTGGTCATGTCAGCAAACTTGTTCAGCTTCAGCTTGTAAGGCTTATCTCCTTTGTTAGTGTTGTGGACATGCTTGACATTCTCCTTGAATACATTGAACCGCTTGTGCTTCTCATCAATGCTCCTGGAAACCGTGTGATGGCTCCTCCACCTCTCATATAAATCCCACAGGCTGTCCTCAGAGGCCAAGTCCTTCTCGTGGAAGTCGAAACTCTGAGCAACCCCAACAACCAAAGCAAGTGACAGAGCAAGAGCAACCCAAATAAACTTAGTCATTTCTATTGGCTTATGAAGATTGAACACAAGATGAGAATGAGAATACAGAGACCTCAGTGCTGCTTTATATAGAGGATCAAAGAATTCAGGACAAAATTAGAGTGATGATGGTGATGATGAAAAGATAGAGTAAGGTACAGGTTCCTTGTGGAAATCAAACTACTTCAAATAATGGAGGAAAATTAAGAGCCAAAATGTATGGGCTGTGATGATTGTTTTGTGGAGTTCAAAAAGATGTGTGGGAAATGGGTTTTGGTTTTGTTCTGCAAGAAATGCCTTAGATTTAGTTTTGTTCATTTGAGGCTTTGGAACTTTTGAAAAAGGAAGCAAGAATTTGGGTATTTTTAGCAGTTACAAAATGGAAAGCTTGTGTGGGCATTTAGACTTGATCTCTCTGTTGATTACATACCCAACACGTTATAATACCATCACCATGTATGCAAAGGGAGCATGGGTTACGTAGATTGAGTCCTTTTGCCACGACTTTGCGAAGTGGAAAATAAAGTGGTGGTGATAACTGCTTGCTTTATAATCTTTTAACTCAAGGCATAGGCAACAATTGGATAGTTTTGAGCTTGTCGCGTAGTCAATTAATTGCCTTTTCCCTTGGTGGTTAAGCTTAATTTGTTTAGATTAAGATAATACAAATTTATAAATAAACCCAATCCTAGACATGTATTTATAAAAAACTCAAGCACTATTTAAACATAGAAACACACCCAAAATCAACTCCAAAATCAACAATTGTATATTTTTTGGGTATGTTTATAAATGAGTTTTGAGTGTGTAATGATGAGTTTTTGGTGTGTTTATAAAGTGTTTTGGGTGTTGGGTTTTTTTATAATTTCAGCCCCCATTTTGGGTGTTTTAGTGAAACTCCCTTAAGATAATTCACTCGCTAAGTGGGGTATAGCTCAATCGGTTGAGCTCTTTCGCCTTCACCCACTGGCGGACCCAATACACGCCTACTGTGGGCAGCTGTCCACACTAAGATGGTTTCTTCACCCATCTAACCAAACACTTTGCCAATAAAAATTAGACACTAGGCTAATATTTTGCATGCAAAATCCCCACTCAGCACACTAAATAAATAAATAAAGCCTTCAAGGTTTTAGCCCAAAACCCCTTCTATATTGAAAATATCAATGCCCAAAACTTAATAAACATATGGTCCAATATATAAAGCCTTAGATTTTGGCCCAAAATCATATATTAAAAATGTATTGAAATAGGATGGGTAATGATTTTCCCACTCCAATTTTATCCACTTACACTCTTTTTTTAGTTATAAAATGGAGTGTAAGTGGATAAAATTGGAGTTGGGAAATCACCACTCTAGATTATTTGTTATAATATATATCGTATTGCTATGAAAACCTAGACTTTGTAGGAGTCAGCTATGAAATTATTTTTTATGTCCCAGATGGAAAAAAGTCTGAGTCCGCCACTATCCACCCATGTGGGTTGAGATTCGAAACCCCATGCACCTAATGAATATTTGTGTAAACCTCCTCCCCCAATTGCTTGTACTAAAAAAAAAGAGATAATATACTCTTAATTGAGTAATCTTGCAATTTAATGTGCCGACTCAAGGGTCAAATGTATCACTCAATGGGTCATGATGACATAACGAGTGTTGTATTTCCATGTGTTCTAACTGAATACAAGGTCGTAACTAGAATTTCCCTTATGGTTAAGATGATTCCATAATTTCAGCCAATAAAATTCTAAAAACATGATCCCAAATTATAGAAACCTAGAGAAAGATGTGATGCAAGAAATTCCTTTAGGCCGAAGCAATCAAAGAAAGAGATGACTCAACCTTGTAAATACAAGTCCAAACCATTTGACTAGGTCGGCAGTTGAAGTAAAACATCGCTTGTACTTCACAAAGACGCTGGCGTAGTGTATTTGGGGACTAGTACATGTAGAGAAAGTGAGACGGCCTTTTTTTAATCAAAACGGCAAAAAGCGAGGGAGGCTTTATCGATTTGTATCTCTTTGTGGACACAAGAACTTCTTTAAAAACAACCTTCAATAATGTTATACACTACAAGATGTCTCAATTTTTAAACATCAAATGATGCGACAACACATATCATAAGGTGGCACGCAACATTTTCATCACCAAATGATTTGACATGTAACGATATTTTAGGTGTTAAGAGATAAAAAAAGAAGTAGAATGGACGTGTATTAACAAATAAAACAACAAAAATGAAAGAGAACTGCTGCGTTTGTTGGGTAGGATGATTTATGATCAATAAGAACGGTGATTGGAAAAAATGTCAATTAAGTGTGGGAGAAGAAAAAATCTTTGTGATGAACAATAATCCAAAAGCTGTTAGCAGGAGAATCCAAAATCTGTTGGGTAGGTTTCATCAATAAATTTTTGAGTGCCTGTGTGCAAGAACACCTTATCTGCACAACCAATGGCTCAATCTTATTCAACTTTAGCACAATAGTTTGTTGATGGCTCTGCTTGTATGTCCTCATCTTTCAAATCATTAGATGGATTCAAAGTGTGAGGCTGTATGTGAAAAGGCAGCACAAAATTCAAAATGATACGCCATGAAGCCTAACTGGCTAGCTCATCTGTGTATCCCGTGACGGTGTAAAGTGCAAACCAGTGCAGCTTATCAAGAAAACCATGCAGTGCTTTTGATAACCAACTTTCACAAACCAATCTAAAGAGAGAAGGTACAAGTGTTTACATTAAAGAGGAGGCCACAGGAATTAAGGTCATAAATATGAAAGAAAGAACAAAAACCTCTAATGACTGCAATAGAAATCTAGCGCATCTTGTAGTGAAAGATACCCTTTCACAGGAAAAGCAACAACCTCACAATGAGGATGGCTTGAGGACTTCATGCTGTTAAAAAGTTTATGGTGGAAACTGGGGGGAAAGTGATCGTAGCTTCAGCTCTAAAGAAATGGAACTAGCAAGTCAAACAAGTCAGGAGATGAGATGCAACTAAAATCACTGATGACATTGATGATTTGTAAGTTACAGAATATCTAACATCAAGAATTCATGCCTGAAGATAAAGGAAAATATATTCCAACAACTTGTTTCTAATTGTGCCTGAACATAAGGTAATTAACATTTCAAAGCGTCACTATAACATTGAAAAATATGATATCATTTTCGAAATCTTACACAAAGTCATTCATACGACAAAACTTAGCTATCCCATGAATGCCAAGTTAAATTATTCCAGAACCATGAGACTGTTCAAGAGAGCTATGCTCAAACAAAATCAGAAGTAGAGGAAACAAAGGGAAACCAGGGTACAAGAAAATCAATCAAGTAGATCATGCTTGAGTCTCCCTTTGTTTGGCTTGCTGCAGCAGCTCTTCTCTAACCCTCTTAATTTCCAATTCCCTTTCCAGTCTTTCTTGCTGACACAGTAGCAGACCCAAATCAGTATTGAAGTATGGAAGATTTTGAAAGGAAATCAATACCAAAACACCAAAACACAATGATCCACATGTGAAGATTAGAGAAGATCAACTAAAAAGGTTCGCTGAAAAGGTAAGCACAATATAATAGCTTCCTTCTATTATTTGAATATTAATCTAATTACAAATGGTTTTATTACTCCAAAATGCAAATGCTTGTTTCTCTGTTACACAATTTTGTGCTTTCTACCCAAAGTATGGCATGCAATATGTACGTGGTTTAAAAGAAACAAACGAAACACAAGTAACCCAACTAGTAATGATAATACGCAACACAGGAGGAAACACACAATCCACCATGGAAGAAGAGCTCCATATAAGAAATCCATGAATAAGAATTGGCTCTAACTCATAAAGGTTTAATCTACAAAGGAGTGTCACTATATTGCATAAATATAGCATAAATATAGCATAATAACAATGATTATGGAGAAATTCCAAGTTCAACTATATTCCTCAATCCCCATTAACCAAGCATTACCCTCTTGATTGACAAGAAAACAATTAATGAATAAATCAAGCTCAAAGGTAGGAAACAGTACTACCCCCCCCCCCCCCCCCCCCCCCCCCACCCAAAAAAAAAATCATGTCATTTCACTCATCAAAATAACATTTTTCACGAAGAATTGAGCAATTTAATTATGAACCATCTCAATGTTTGAGCTTCTGGAGCTGAAATTGAATTGAAATACTAAATAAAAATTCAAAATTACCCACATTCTCAGCCCAATTCGAAAGAGAAATTGCGATGATGAGAAAGAAGAGTTTTTTACCTTTTCGTCCTGATGGAGAGCGATCCAGACGTGGACTTTATCCATGGATTGCCAGAACACAAAAGCTCCCAAAGTCATAGCAAAGTAGGTTGCTACCTTCACCATCGTTAACCTTCTCTTTCACTTCTTCCAATCTCCGTTTTAGGTTTCAGGCGAGAGAGTAAGACCGCTGGCAGGACTTTCCGTTATCGAAAACGGGTCGAATCCAAACCCCAGAATGCTTTATAGTAACTAGGTAGAGAAGCTCCACTCCCAGTTGGGCCCGATTGACGAATGATTCCATGGTTGTTATTTGGCCCATTTGAACAACAGATTAGATGGGTTTTTTTATTTTATTTTATTTTATTTTTATAGGGCCAAGAAAGCCTAGGATTAATTATTGGAATTTTTCATATAGAATGGAAGTTATTGTAAAATTGGCAAATTTGATTTAATATTGTTTGAATCATAATTTATAGAGTGGCAATTGGCATAGCTAAGCCTACTCTCAACTATGGCCAAGAAAAGAGAACAGAAAAAAAAATTAATAAAATTTATTCAGGAACTTTGTATGAGAAAGAGAGAAGAATGACTGCACACATGATACAATTCGAGATGAATCAATCAAATATTTACACCAAATCTAATAAAACTTGTGTACATTGTGTAAGAGTGAGATGTGTCTTGTGGAAACAAGAATAAACTGCCTCAGCCAAACGATTCACGCCCAAGTGCAAACGATGCCGTTCTTGTCCGCAGAAGCTAGAGGTTTTCCATGTCCACTCCATGAACAACACAGCACAGATGCAGTGTGTTCCTTCAGAGTGCTCACAATGTCGGCCTTAGAGATTGACCAAATATACACAGAACCATCAGCAGATCCAGCAGCAACATAATTGTCATCTGGACTGATACAGGACCGGCTCCAGTTAGACGCCACTCTGTTTCCGGTGGCTCTTAATGTGCCGCAGACTTCCAGAGACCGCATATCGAACAAATTATGCACGTTGTCTCTCCCACTTGTCAATACAACATTGCCATTTCGGGACAAAGATATGGATGTAACAGCATTTGAATGTGCAGCTACTTCACTGAGTAGCTTTCCTTTCTCAATATCCCACAAGCGAAGGTTTCCATCAACGTGCCCAGAACATATGGTCTGTCCATCCATGCTGAAGCAAAGAGCATTGCAGTTTTTGGGGAAAATAATTGTGTTGGTGCAGTAACCTTTCTGCAAATCCCAAACTTTTATGGTACGATCATAGGCTGCACTCACAACATGACGACTTGAATTGCTAACATCTACAGCACATACTTTATCCATGTGGCCAGTGAGAGTATGGCGAACCCTCCCCGAGCTAACATCCCAGGCATACAATTTGTTTGAGCTGCTTGCTGCAATGATAGATCTATTATCATGGGTAATGGTAATATCAAGAACAGAACCAATGCAACCATGAAGTGTATGATTTAGTGCCCCAGTGTTTGTATCCCACATTTTGATGGACCCGTCCTGTCCGCCAGTAATCAATTTGCCAGAATTGTACTCAAATAATATGGAAGCACAGCCACCTTCATGGGCATGGATCCTGCTCTTGCATGCAGAGGGAATTGTTGACTCCACAAAGTACTCAGCACCTTCTTCACTTTGGCGGACCACACCATCTACTTGCTGCCTAGCAAGTTTTTCCAGACCACTGGCCCTGAGCCGCTCAATCATATCTTCATAGAGTGCATTTGCCTAAATTAAATAAAGAAAAACTGAGTTACCCCAATATACATTATATGTAAAACAGGTAGAAAATTTATAAACAAATCCCTTCCAAGGGCCAAAGAAAATCAAAATCCTACTCTTATACACTGGAAAACAAAAGAGTGCTAACAACAAAATATCACATCTACTTTCTGAAGGCTTTATGTCAAGTCAAATAATAATCAAAACTCGTGAAAGAAAGGGCAACGCCCATGCCAACAAATATCCTAATTGATTAGCTAAAATACACTATTGTTTTTATTTAGGTTTTTCTAGTACTTCCGTAGAACTTATGACAGTGGCAAGAATACATATGTATGCAGTTAAGCACAAATTGGCCTAGTCATCCAACATATAAAGAGTGAATGTCAATACTTGGTACCACTTACAGCAAGCCACGAGATTAATCAGAGCCTCGAGAAACATCAACCCAGGAGACTAAGGCATTATAGCTATGTTTCTCGTCTTTTAACATAATATCACACCTTAAAGCAATCGACATCTACTGGTATCTACTATACCAAACCAAAAGTTCAGTCTGATTATATAACTGATAAGTACCTCGTTAAGGCGTTCAGCATCCTTCATCTTTTCCAACATCCAGCGGTCAATTAACACCTTACTTTCAGCCTCAGCATTCTTAGCTCTATTAGACATTTCTTCAAGCTGCGCTCTTATTTCCTTGTTCTCACTCACAACCAATTCTAAGGCTTTAATCTTCTCTTCTAAGTCAGCCGTTAATTGAGAGCATTCATCCCTGCAACAATTGCAATCAATCATACAGAACCCTGAAATCTGAAAAGCATCCCCCTTGCTATTACTAGTTAAAAAGTCAACCTTTTTTCTGTTAACTCCTTTTGGAGATCAGCCACTGCTGCTTCTTTCTCTTGAAGTGAAGCTTTTGAAGCTCTGGACTCTGCTACTTCCACCACAAGTTGCTCAGACAATCGAGATTGAGCTTTGTAACATTGCTGAAGTTCGAGTTCCAAACTCTCTGCTTTCTCCTTCCATTCTGAGCCCTTTCAAAGACATTCAAAAGTAACTCAATATCTAATTCAAAACAATCAAAAGACAAAAAAGAAGCCAAATTTGTAAGCATTTTAATTGCATGGAAACTGATGACCATGAACATCAAATTAAGCAGCACCAAAGCCCATGAATATTAATTATCTGTCTTAATACAGAATTTTTAGGCTTCAAAAAGTCAAATATTTTAGTTCTAATAACATTTACAATAACCAAAACCCTAAATCCTAGCTTGTAAGGAACTAAGAGAAGACCTGATGAGCAATTGGCCTCGCAAGAGCAATAAAAGCCGGAGCATGAGCACCTTCTTCGAGCAAATGCCGCTTCCGAAGAGCCTTCAGTGCGTGCTTTATCGCTTCCCTTGCTATCTCCTCCTGTGACCTGCACAAACAAAGTTGAATGAGCATAATAAACTTCTCCACAGTGTATAGTCATCTCTGTTTGGCAACTGAGAAATCGATCAAAAAGAAAATTCATGAAACTTTGTGAAAGCAAAATCACGCAAAACTCTACTTGAAGACCAAAACGACGAGTTGATTGAAGTGAGCCATACTTACATTGTGATCGAATCGAGCACTGTGCCAAAGCAATCGATGGTGTTAGGGCTTCACGAAGAGGATGCAATCATGTTGCTAAAGGCGCAGGGGTAATTCCGGAATGTGAAAATTCTGATAGGCCTTTAACCTCAAAGAAACCGGAACTCAAAGTCCTTGAGAATTTGGAAAAATCGAAAAGAATGGAATGTAAATTCCAACCGAGTCCCGGACAAAAGCTGGGGTTGCGTAGACTGCTAGAGATCCAACCCAATGAAGTCGGAAGAGGCAGGCGAACGAGGAAGAAGGAGACGCGGGTACGGTATGGCGAAGCAATAACCAAAACGACAACGTTTTCGCTTTAAGCTTGGTGAAAATTTATTTTTTTTAAAAAAATTCTTCAATTTTTCAATCAATTAATTATAATTGATAGATAATAGTTTATTGAATCAAATTCTCGTTTCAATTGTGTTGCTTCACTTGAACTCTAATGGGAGCCAAAAACAAAATGGAATGGGTTAGGCCAGCATACTCTTGCACCCGAGTTCGAATCTCTCTCCACATCACATAAATTTTCATAGTAGAAACATAAAAAGGAAAAAAGGAAAAGAACAATTGCCATAAGCCTATAACAAAATGCTACACGTTTGATTTTGATTATTACCCTTTTGAAGGAACGAAGAACAAAATTGCTAAGACCATAACAAAGGTCATTGCCATGTATCATTTTCTAAAGTTCCCCTTGTGAACCATGAGCTTCATTTCCTTTCAATGATGAGAAACAAAGAGGTTAGAGTTCTTTCATTAACAATCAAGGGGCAAAGACACCCAAAAGAACACATTAAAACTCTACAAGCCATGACAAAGTTACATAAAATAACAAAGATACACATCCTGAAACCACAAACTTTGGCTGAAACCACAAACTCTACAACCTTAAGTTAGATCCCAAATAATTTCCCCACCCCACTTGTTCTATGTTTCTTTATCCCAACCCAATACAAACTTTCACCGGAGATTTACCCAGCTCGAATTCTGTCCAGCCAGTCAACGCTCTTCCGCGCTTTTTCTAGCTGATGGTCAATGCTTCTCCTAGATTTCTCGTGATGGTATTCCACGCTTCTTCGTGACCTCTCTATCTGGTCAGCAGAGATTCTAAACTTATCTACCTTGTCAACGTTATTAAACTTGTATTCACTAAATTTCAGCTTTTCAGGTCTATCAGTGCTCTTCCTTGATTTCTCTCTCCGATCAGTACTCTTCCTTGGAGCCTCAAAAAAATCAACACTCTTCCTAGGAAGTTCGATGCGGTCCGTGCTTTTCCTATGGTCTGTGCTTTTTCTAGAACTAATCCTTCGGGAAGGTGATTTTTCAACAGTTGATATGAACTTATTGAGATGTCTAAGGTATTCTGGATACAGTTCCAAATTACAGTGACTTCCACCTTTTAGCCATAGAGGTTCATATTTCTCTTGACATAGTACCCAAAGTTGCTTGCCGTGTGAGCAGTCGACAACTTCATCAGCTGTTCCCTGGAGAAGAATAACAAACACAAAATGTCAACCAAAAAAAGAAATTCAAAATTTGTGGTGAAATCCAAGATTAAACAACATCAACTTTTTTCCAATTGATTTCAGATGGATCCTTCAGCATGAGATTGCAAATATAAATGCATGATAATTCTGCTTTAATCATCTATGAAAAACTAAAATTAAATGACATGTCAAACGTATGGAAAATAGTAACATTCCAACAATCACTTCATTTCACAGAGGAGGCAAAATAATAATTGTTGAGTACTTACATGTATCACCAGCACAGGACATTTCACCAGAGGGATTTTATCAATGTTCTGCACATAAATGAAAATCAGGTTCAGACATGTATATATGCATCACCATTCTCAATATAAAGTAATTCAATAAAAGTCTTCACCAAAATTGATATCAAGAATCTAACCTTATAGATATCAAACCAGTACGTGCGCTTCACAGGATACATGACTCTTAAACCTGATAATATAGGACTGTGCAAAACAATTGCTCTCAGTCGAGGCAAACGGGCAGCAAGATCAACAGTAGGACCGCTTCCAACAGACTGACCATAGAGGATTATGTCTTCCTGCTTAGCCCCATACCTCTCTTCGAGACACTTATATGCAGCTTCAATATCTGCATAAGTATTATGTTCACTTGGCTGCAGAAAGGTTTACAAATGAGCATCAGATAAACCTGTGTAGTAGAATTTGAATCATGACAAATACATGATTCATACGGCACTTACCTTGCCTGATGACTGTCCATAGCCAGAGTAATCATACCTGCCCACGTTCAAATAATATGGTTCAGAATGTTTTCCATGTTTTCCAAATAATATGGTAAAATCAAATTAGTTCAATTAAACAATTGCATTTGAAACCCAGGTTTGCATACAATCAGGATCCCGGCTGATATAACAAAATGTGCATGTATAAAGGAGATTCGCCTTCATGGCTAGCCTCTGAGATATTGAAGTGAATGCCAGTTGAACTTTCACGTTTTCTTCAGGTCCTTGTGTTTCCATTTTAAGTCAAATAACCAAAATTTGATTCGATGGGAGGAAATAGTGAAATTTAGTTCAATATGATATACCACAGCATAAGCAGTCTAACTAACTTCTCAATGGGCACTGGGCAGTTCATAAACAAATTTTTTGCTTCTATAACCTTGACAATTAAAAATTAACTGTCCCAGCTTCCAACCGTGTATATTTAGGTTCACCTACTTCTGATATTCATTTATAAAACCTCTTCCAGTTAAACTGTAGATCCCAAACCACTTTGTTATTCCAACTTCATGGCTAACTGATTGAATGAGCCAAAACACTACTTGAGCTCATCAGAACTCTGAAGATACTTGTATATCTAAATCAGAATTCTTAAGATATTCATATTTCTAAATCAAATCATGAATAACAATCCACAAATATCTTATGGCACACCCCCAATTCCAATCGAGAAAACCAATCACAGACACAAGGACACAAAACCAAAACAGCAGATAAAAAAAGCAAAAGCTTTAAAATTGGAGTAAAGGGTAGAGAGAAATTATACCCCATGAGATTGACGCGGAGGTGAATGCTCAATTCGATGAAAAGCTCGTACATTTGACCGATATCAGTGGCGTTGCCATGAGAGTACAGCAGGGTAGAGGTGGCCATTGGGTGGCGTATATAAACGGCCACGATCTCATTGCCGCGGCGAGTGGGAAATTTCAAAACGTCGACGTTTTCACGATGAGGAAGAGGGTCCATGAGCAAGAGACCAGTGGCTTCGTCTTTAACTACCTTGTAGGATGGTGGGTTGGGTGGGAAAAATGCAAACTTTGCAGCCATGGATGAAGTAACCCCACCCATTCTCTCTCCTCTCTCTCTCTCTCTCTCTCTCTGAGACTAGTCCTGTGGGATTTGAAGATCAGAAGCAGCAAATTGACATTACTATTTTCTTCTACTGTTGCGGAGTGAAGACAGAGGGTTTGAAGTGAAAAAGTGAGCAATTTTCTCGCGCTGGGCAGAGACAGAAGGAAACAGAGCGTCTTATTTACTCTGAAATTTCCAATCCATTGGTTTTCTTTTTCTGGCTTTTTTCTAAATTGCCAAAATATATTTATTAGATTTTAGTGGCGATGATATCCTGAGCAGTCGATCTCATGTGGTTGGGTTTGTACTTTGTCGTAAGACCAAGGGTCGTGCTCACAGCTCACGTGTCGTATTATCGTCCTGTTATTTTCATATTTTCTTTGGTTACAATTGTATTGTCCTGTTATTTTCTTGAAATTGCCGTATTCCTTTTCTCCTTTTGGTTTGCATCAAAGGCTTTTGATTATTGTTTACGTGTGCTTTCGTTGAAAGTTAGTTTGCGCCGTATACTTTAAGCAACATTAATACAACATATTGTGCAAACGTGAATTAGTCAAGTTGATTAGGATAGTGAGTTCGTCCATTTACACTTAAGTTCAAATCACGAACAATAAGTACGTCCTTTTGCGCTTAAATTAGATCTACGGGTGGGGGTACTGCTGCCCCAATGCCATTACAGAAATCTCCATGTTTTCTTGAGCAAAATATATGGAGGCAAAAAAGATATGGGAATCCACGAAAATGGAAGAGCATTTATGGAGGCGTAAATTAAGGGCTTATCAAGGAGGAAAGAAAACAATATTAGCAGGAGGCCATAAATGAGTATCAAGGAGATTAATGATAAAATATTTGCAGAGTTAGTCCTTCTAAATCGGCTAATTAGCTATTTAGTTCCAGCTTAGCTCAACTTAACACGCGGTTACAGGTTGTCTCATTTTGTTGTTACTCTCTCGTGAGTCTCCATGATTTTCCAACGGCCACCACCGCTTTCGCCATTTTCAAAGACAACTCTGTCATGCACTCTTCATGCATGCAGGAAATTAAATAATAAATAAATGGTTAAATATGAACCAGACAATTTTGTCCAACCAACAACAACCAGATGGTATCAGATCGCTAATTCTTAATTAATTCAAAAAAAGTATAATAATTCTCTTTGCAAACTTAACTGAAAACAGATGTTAAAAAAGAGAGTTATCACGTAAAGAAATGCACAAATCAATTAATACTTTGTGATTAAGTATAATTTGAATTGTACATAGATATTGGAGTAAGGAGAAATCGGACAGAATATTCGAAGTATACGAGCTACAAGTTCCTTGTTTTATTTTAACGAAATTAGATTAAAAACTCTGATGATATGAACGAAAAACGACTTAATTAAGAAGGGTATGATACGATATTACTAAATATTAACCTACGTGTGAGATCCATATATATTTTGTAGAAATTGTTGGTTTTAAATTACGTAGTTGAAAACTTAAAATCCTCTTGAATTGAAAGCACTTGAATGTGTATATATGGGTGTTATTAGAACTTCCATTCCATGCATGCAAGCTCATGAATCAATTTCATAGTTAATTACTGTACTTTATATTTTTATTTTTCTTGTCAAAAACATCCAACAGGAAAAAAGTATCCGTGTACTGACAAACTGACAAATGCATATTTAACTAGAATATTTGTATAGGTCTAGAAAATCGAAAGCTGCCGAGAAATTTGAATCCCGGAGAATTCGTGTGGAATGTGAAAACCTAAACTTGGAGCAGCTCACCACAATTTCAATGGTCCCTCTCTCTCTCTCTCTCTCTCTCTCATAAACACTCTGAGAATCTGAAATTGTGAAGAGGATGTTGGCAACGTTCAGGACAATTCCCTTGATCGAATGAGACTGCTCACATGTCCCCCCTTTTCAATTCATCGATATTTGGTGCTCTCACAAAACATACAACAACTTTCTTATTTATTTTTTGTTTATTTTTCTCATGTGCTCGATTATAGCCTGGCCCAGCCCAAATTTTACCTCAACATTTAGGCCTGTCTGGCCCAACCCAAAAGAGAGCCAGAATCTACGAGACCTGTACAACAAGACTGATTGGCTCATATTGGCTGTACCAGCCCTTTATATTTCTAGCGTTCTACTGGGTTGGGTTGAGTTGGTTCGGGTCGAGTTGGGTTGGGTTAAGTTAGGTTGACAGCATGTGAGCTGGTCTTCTGTCTCAATTGAAGCCAGTAATGTCAGAAATGCGAACTTTAACTGCATACACCTATTGGCTCAAAATAAACGTGACATATTCAGAATACAGGTTGCAGCAATGAAGGCTGTCCTGCCCAGTTATATGCAAATAGTTAATTATGGGCGTGTTACTTTTTTCATAAGGCCATCATGTCACATGCCAATACTTTTTGCACACCAAATTCAAAAGCTGCAAGGCATGGAGAGAGAGATATATATAGATACATCTCCATACTTCTCATGAAGCTAGCTACAAAGTGACTGTTCCTTTCTGCATGCAGGTACACATTAGAGGGTGGGGGGTTTACTATTCTAGAGATGGAGCAAGATCTAGTGATTGTCATTAGTGGGCAGCTCCAAACAACAAGAAGAAGATCATCTGAAACTATTGCATATTATTATTATTATGCAGAAAATGCAAATTTTGGACATGAATCAAGGAACAACAAGAAGTTAGTGAGTTAGTATTGGATACAATCGCTTTCGAGTTATAATCGTGTTTGTGTAAAAAACATGCCATCCCATTTAACTTGATTATTGACAATTTTATGTACCATGTTAACTTGCCTAACTTGAATATGACACGAATAACAATCGCATCACGTCATGTCATGTTTGAAATTAGCGTGTAATTATATAGGTGCTAAATTAAATACCAAGATTCTCAAACTCAGCTTGCATAATATTACTTAATAAGCCATAATCAAGCCAAAATACGAGTCAAACTCAAATTATAACAAGCCAGTTTACGCTCTAATTGCAAATGATGAGTTAAAAAACAAACAAACAGGTATGCGTTGTCTAAAAATAACATGGATGAGATGAATGGTAGAGGAGGCAATGCTTTTGGTAACAAGACTAGAATTCAAATTCCCAGAATCCAAAATAGCATTTTGATCTTTTACCTAGGTGATAATATTTTGATATTAATATCACATTGGAAACATTGTCCATTTGATTATTTTTGGTACCTAGTTCCAAAACTTGGTGTACAAAACTAGTATTTTACCACTGGTTTCTAACGTGGTTGGTGTGTGAAGTTATGTTATTATCTATTAAATTCCGGAGGGACCGCGCTATAAATTTATAAGTAATTCACTTCTGCCACAAAGTCCTTGTTGCCTTATATAAATCTCATTCGAATTTGAGTTTTCTTGGCATTTTCCTCCGGTTTCCCGGTAAACAAACAGACCAAGGCAATATCACTGGAAAAATACAAAGGCCAGCACAGAACCTGTCTGACACGTGTCATTCATGCCCGGTGGCCAAGTCATCCAACTGAATTATCCATTAGCTACAGAGACATACAGTACATCGTTTTCCCGGGATAAACTATAAACTGAAAGACCGCCGAGTGCTGAAATGACCAAAACACCCCTGAAGAGCTCACTCTCCGAGACTGACAAGCAGACCTACGCTACTATTTTCTCTGAACAAACTCTGCAACAAAGCACCAGAAAATTTCTGACTCAGAATTTAGCTGTATCCTCTCCTCTCTGTCCACGTCGGCTCCTCGCTCACAAGCAATGGCATGCCTAGACCTAACCGCCCCTCACATTTATTACATTTACTACTCTGCCACTTACCGCGCCTCTATCTTCTTCCCCTACCTATGCTTCTCCACGACAACGGAGCTCAACCACCAAGACCTCTGTTTTAGGGTTAGGGTTTTATTTAATCTGCTCCGCTTTCTACGCTACGCCTTTGAAAAATCTCGTCAAGTTCCAAGCGGTTTTTGATTATTTCTATTTCGAAAGGTTTGGGCTTTTTTTCTCATCTTTGTCGTTTCGCATTGTTTTTTTTCTGCGTTTGAATATTTTTATTGTTTATTTTGGAACTGTAGATTCTTTCTCTGACTCTCTCTCTCTCTCTCTCTCTCTCTCTCTGTAGACTGTGTGGTGTTGAGCTGGATGATGGTGGTTTTTTAGTTTGACTAATGGAATGAGCTTGCAGCTTTTGGTGGAATGTATTAATCAGCATCTTGTTTACTGCATGTGGGTGAGTTTTGATGCTTTTTCTTGGGAATGGCTTTGTGGGTTTTTCGTTTTGTTATCCAGAGGTAAGATGAAATAGCTTTTTATGAATTCCATGGTGTTATTCTGTAACAGTGTTATGTACTTCTGTGAATGCTCAAGTTTTGATTTTTGTTTTCTCTAAAATGGCAATGCTGAATGCCTTTGATGAGAAATCAGTGTATTCGTTGTTTCTTGCTCCCCTCCCCCCTTCTTTTGCTCACTGATTGGTCTTTCAGACAGAGAATGACTGAACTTAACATTATTTTTGAATTTTGAAAAAAATTGTTTCGTCTACCATTTTGTGGTTTTGGTTTATCTGTGGAAAGTTAAATCCACTACAGTTCTTTACCTGTTTTTGATTAAGAGGTTTTCTCTGGTGCCCATTTTAATGTTGTATTACTGCCTTGCCTCTTTCAGGTTGGGAATGCGCAGGTCCTTTTGAGTCCTGAAATTTGAAATTTCATGGTAAATTTTGGTGTTTCTTTGAATTCTTGTGTTTGATTGTTATTTCCTGTTCGAGAAAATGATGGATGGGCGGCGGCATTCTGTTGATCTTCCTATTTCCAAGACTCTTGTGGCACTGAGGAGGGTGAGGTCTCTAAGGGATCCATCAACTAATTCTATGAGCAAATTCTCTGCTCCACTTGAGAATGTAAATTGGGAAACAAATTCGAGTAATGACATTTCTATGCGATTCATGAATACTTTCCAAGAAGGTGGCTCTGACCAACATCGTTCTTTGAGAC